GTAATAAACATGTAGAATTAGACCCTACATATACACCACTGTGAAGGAAAACCGGAAATGAGGTAATCAACTCCAACTGACCCCAGAGTTTAAATACCAGGTGGGAAAACACAACAGTGCTTCATCGGAGGCTGCACTGATGATGTTATCCAGCAGGGTAATGAAACGTCTGCGAACTAACGAACCAGCTTGGCTACCGAAACAACTGCAGTATTTTTCTGTTCTATTATTTGCTCCCTTATGGGGAATTTGTAAGTATTGTTATTTTCCACTCAGTTGTTATGTGTACTTTTTTTATGATTAAATGTAAGTAGAAATAATACATTATTGCTGATGAATCAATACTTATTGATTATGCTAACTAATTGGAATGTTTTGGCCGTTTTTATGCTTAAAATTGATACAAGAACTTATGTGACAACAAAATACATCACTGTTGGTTCAAGATTCGCATATGGGCTTGTTAATTGAAACACTTGTAGTCAGGTTCAAGTCTTTTACTGTTTGGACTTTGCATAGGGCCAGCTTCAAAGGAGCAGAGTTGGTTGCATAATATGAATGACTGAGCTGTGTGCAATTGTCTGACAAAACCACAGTTGTTAAGTATATCGTAATGAAGCCTGAGTTACATCATCCTGCAGTCTAGCCTTTTCCCCTCGCCATCTACCACACCATGTCATGTTATCTGCAAACTTACTGATCATGCATCCCAAATTTTTGTCTAGATCATTAATACAACAAGAGACACAGCACTGAATCTTGTGTTATGCCTCTGGAGACAGGCTTCCAGTCACAAAAGCATCCTTCAACCTTTGCATCCTGTCCCTAAACCAATTTTGGGTCCAATTTGCCAAATTGCCCTAGGTCTCACAGGCTCTTAGCTTCTTAACTGGTCTGCAACACAAGTCCTTATCTAAAGCCCTATGTAGACTACATCAACTTTATTACCTTCATCTACACATTGACTCCAATTTTGCTCCAGCTCCTTGTAGCCACACTCATTCAAGGACAGTCTCTCTTCCCCAACACAGTGTGGAGCTGGAGGAACACAGCAGGTCAGGCAGCATCAGAGGAGCAGGAAAGTTGACTTTTCGGGTCGGGAGCTCTCCAAACAGTGAAGGTCAGCCTAACACCACTGTGGAAGCCCCTCCACTGTCAAGCCCCAGTGGTTTAAGATGAAGGCTCAATGACAGATTCTTCTGGGGAAGCTACTGACAGGAGCTAACCACTCTACTGAGGCCTGTGTGTAATCTAAATATAACACAAATGAGATGCATGGTTTCTATTTACTTAAGGATTGCAGCCAACGACTGAATTATTTATAACTAAACTAATGTATACAGCACAGACTACTCTCCAAACACAGCCTGTGTCTCAGGTGCTACAATACAGTCAGCCAATGGCCCAAATTCATGTGATAGACAGCACCTTCCAAATTCATAACCATTATCACCTAGAAGGACAGGGCAGCAGATACATAGGAACACCATGCCTTAGTCACCATCCTGACTTGGAAATATATCATCGTTCCTTCAGTGTCGCTGGATCAAAATCCTGAAATTCCATCCCTAATGGCATTGTGGGTCCGCCTACAGCTCATGTACTGCTGTGGTTCAAGAAGGTAGCTCACCCTCACCTTCTCAAGAGCAACTAAAGATGGGCAATAACCCATCCAGCAAAGGGGTTTGCTTTATTCTAAAGTTAGTTTGTGGATTCCATCAAAATTTAATTTATGGTGTGTCTGGTTGTGATTCCAATCTGTCCACTCTTCCTACACCAACATGCTACATCTTCCCCAGGAGCATCTAATGTCTTGTTTTCACTCTGTCTTTCACCAAATTCACTGAGGTTATATTGCCCCCTATCGGTCTAGTTACTGGGAACATCTGAAGCTGGTTGCATTGTTCCTTTCTGATTTGAGTCTGTCAGTGAATCCTTTTGCTTGCTTTCCTTCCTAGCCTATTTACTCTGCTTGGAAATCCTTTCGGAAAACTGTGTAGCGGTTCTGTAATTCTCTGCGTTTTTTCAAAGAACAAATTTTCCATCCAGTTATTGTCATTCTTTTTCCTTCCGTGAATCTTTATCTCTGCCATTAATCATGAATCTGGAAGCTTGTCAAAGGCTTTCTGTGAATCCTTGATGCACCTTGGCAAACATTGCTCACTGTAAAATTTACCAACACAAATGTATCCAAGGCTGGTTTGTAATCAGATCAGCCATGGAAAGTAAAGCAGAATTGATGGGCTGAGTGGCGTGCCTCATGATTATGGGCTGTTAAGATCACACCAACAAAGGAGGTCTTCCAGCTTTCTCAGGCAGTTGTGCTCATTCTGTCCCTTCAACATGTCAAAATTTTGGGGACTGGTGGTGGTGGCGGTCAATGAGGGCGAGGAATTGACAAATCACTTTGTTCAAACTGCTGGATGCTCTCCTTAGGTTTCCCCAGTTCAAAGTCTTTTCAACAGCGAGTGGAATGTCACTCAGTTTAAGATGATCTGAAGATGAATAGCCTTGATGCAGCACCAAGCTCCTAAGGATAGCTGCTCCCACACAGTTACCATCCGTGAGATAGAACGGAAGAGTCTAAAGAGAAACAGCAAACAGGAGCAGGCCGAGGTAGTGTTTGATCAGACGATCGCTGGGCTGTGCTCAGGTAGACTGTCTCTGGATCACCACAGACAGCTGCCAGTGTGGTTTCTTTCACAATCGAATTGGGAAGATACATCAATTCACAGTTGGATACAACCCTGTTGTCAGGAAATAATGTTTCCCACAGGGCTGATTGACAGCTGTCAGCACCCCAACTCCCTGATCCAATGGCACTGAGCACAGTTACAGTCTCCGCTCTAAACCAAGGGGAATTGTTATAGGACCATCACAGCGTCCAGTGAAATAATTACTGGGTTACACCAGGAAAGTGACACAGTGAATGGAAATACACTTTGTGCAGTATAGGAAGCCATTCAGCCCACAATGTCTGTGCCTGTCAAAGGCCTGACTACACTCATCCCATTGAGCAGTTCCTGGCACATTAGCACTGCAGGCTTTGACAACACAAGTGAACATCCAAATCCTGCTTAAATGTAATAAGAGTTTCTGATTCAATCTCCTTTTCAGGCAGTGGGTCCCAGACTCCCATCATTCTCTGAACAAAATAATTCCTTCTCAATGCCCCTCTTACATCTGTATTTCCTGATGATTGACTTCTCCAATAGTGGGGAAAAAAAATCTTCCTATTCACCCCATCAATGCCCCTCAATCTAATAGAGGGGCATTGATGGGGTTCTATCAGGTGCCATCTCAAACTTCGCTGCTCCACAGAAAACACCACCACCTTCTCCAATCTTTCCTCATAGCTTGGACCGTCCAGTCCAAGCAACATCCTGCTTAGTGTCCTCTGCACCGTTTAGTATAATCACATCCTTACTATAATGTGGTGATCAGAATTGCACACTGTACTCCAGTTTACACCCAGGCAGTATTACTGCTCTTTATGCTTGCATTCAGTGCTTTAGCTAATAAAGGCAAGGGCCCCAAATGCCTTTGTAAAAACCCTACCTACTGGCCCTGCTACCTCAGGCATCTGTGGATATGCACACCAAGTTCCCCTGAGCTTCAGCACTTTCCAGGGTCCTACAATTCACAGTGCAATCGCTCATCTTGGTGGCCCTTTCAAAGACAGTGCCTCACATTCCCAGATTGAGTTTTATTTGCCATTGCTGTGCCCTCCTGACAAGCCCATTAATATCCATTTTCAATTTATGGCTATTGGCCTCATTTACCAGCCAACAGGGAGTCCCCAACACTCAGGGGCCTCGCACTCCCTCAGATCCCTTACTGTCACTTTCAGTCAAATGGTGCCTTTGTGAGGCACCTCATCTGGAATTCAGCTCCATGTCCACACTTGAAACCCAGCTACCATTTATTTGGCCCATTGCAGTGGTGCTCCTGTTATTATTTGGAGGATTTATTCATTCTGGGGTTCATAGGGATTGCTGGCTGGCTGGCCAGTTTTATATAGCCAGTCCCCATTTCACCCCCACCCCTGAAGTGGTAGCAGAACCCTTGTAGGCCTGCTGTGTTCCCCCAGCTCCACGCTTATCTCAGACTCCAGTGTCGGCAGTTCTTACCGTCTCCAAGATGCTTAAAGAGCTGGTGCAGACATAATGGGATAAGCGACTGACTGCTGTATGTACACAATGCTGTGATTCTGTAACGGCAGCACAGAACCTGTTTATCTGTGATTGCTGGGGTTAGCTTCAATGTGAGGGTTTTGTACAGTTGCCCAGCAAGAGTGAAGGAACAGTAATATTTCCAAATCAGGAAGGCAAGTGGTTGCTGCAAAATATCAGCTGCCCTTGCATGGGTTCGATAAGTGCTGTCTAAGGAGTCTTGGTGAATTTCTGCAGTGCACCTTGTAGATAGTACACACTGCTGCTACTGAGGGTCAGTGGTGGAGAGAGAATGCAATGTTAGTCAAGTGGGCTACTTTGCCCTGGATGGTGTCAAGCTTCCCGAGTTTTGTTGGAGCTGCACCCATCCAGTCAAGTGGGGAGTATTCCATCACACTCCCAATTTGTGCCTTGTAGATGGCGGACAGGTTTTGGGGAGTTGAGGTTATGGGCCAAGTGCTAGAAAGTGGGATGTGTGGGGATAGGTTGGCAGTCCAAAGTACCAACCCACCACCATCTCAGAGCAAAATGGGGATGGGCAGAAATTGTACTGACATAATACATTCTCAGAAAGGAACAGGGGATGAACTGGGGTAACAGTGTGGAGCTGGAGGAATACAGCAGACCAGGCAGCAGAGGAATAGGAAAGCTGACGTTTCGGGCCAGGACCCTTCCCGAAACGTCAACTTTCCTGTTTCTCCAGCTCCACACTTATCTCCGACTCCAGCATCTGCAGTTCTTACGAGCTCTGGGTGATGGCACCGACTTTCCCAGTTCAGTTTAAGTTGTAGATCAAACCCAGTGAGCAAGAGAGGCTACTTAAAATTCTCATTAGATTAAAATTTTATTAACAGTTTCAGCAGACACCAGCAGTAAAATGTAATGAAGTGAACATCAGTTTACATCAACTATTGCACAAAAAGTAAATACAATATTTTTAATTTCCCACAAGTTAAACAAGACTGCCCTGTCAAATATTCAATAAACTATCCAAACTTGAACATTGCTATGTATGTATTTAGCCAGTAGAGGGCAAACAAACACAACCCATCAATTCTCAATTCTGCTGGTTTTACAGCTGATCCCAACATTGAGGAGCAACAGCCAGCTAATTCTCAGTACCACAGATCATTTAAAGATTCAAAGTCTCTACACTAGAGCACTAGAATAGGTAAGGAAACTGCAAGTCAACATGATTGGAAAAAACAATGGTTTGATTTGGCGGGGGGTGGGGTGGGGAGGGAGAGGGGGGAAAAAAAAAATCAGGTAACAGCTGGATCGAGCAATTCAGAGCTGAAGAGGATCAGATCAAAGAGCCAGCTCAAAATACACAGGATAAGCCACTTCTTTCACATTTTTAATCAATTCCTCTCCTCCCCTCCCCAGGCCCATAATGGTGGATAGGTAAAGTTGCCCTAATCCTACTGGGCTATAGGCATCTTGCTCTAATGAGGGCAGAGCTCCAATGGTGGTTTAATCTAAGGGTTACCACCCCCTTGGGCAAGGAGAGAGAATGGAGAAGGTTGGACCTTCACTATAACCTCAGCCAGTATGGGAAATGAACAACTGCTGTTGAGATCACCATCACAAACCAGCTGTCTAGCCAATGGAGCTAACTGACCTCACAGTCGCCAAGTAGGTATTCATGGATAACGACAAGATTTTCAGGTGTTTGAAGAGAATGCACAAAATTGGCCCTAATCTTGTGACCAAGGCTGACAGTTATTCAGGAGACTTAATCCCCTTTTAAGTAAAGCAAGGGATAACAGGTATCCTGGTGGGCAGGCTTTGGGGAGACTGGAGGTCATGGGCCAAGTGCTAGAGATCCCAGAGATCTGCTCTCTGATCACTAACTGTATTCGACTCAAAACAAGCTGCATCTCCATGCTATCACATTAAAGGTTTAGAGAAAAGTGGAAAATTATGATAATTCAGACAGAGGAGAATTGAACTCCATCCATCACAGTTAAATATGGAGATAAATCAATTTTGGTTGCTAAAAAGACCAAGAACATCCTTCCACATTTTGATGAGATCTTTTCCAGATATTAAAGATATCAAGGATATTGGGATAGGGCAGGAAGACAGCTTTGTGGTAGATGGACAACAACTTGAATGGCAAAGCAGGCTGTATAACCTCCTCAAAGTTTCCTATGTTACCATGGCTTGCAGCTGGGAAAGAGCAGAGGGCTTGATCATCCATGTGGCCAAGTACCAAACCTTTATCCCACACTGGCTGGAATACAACATTGCTGCAGTCATTAATCACCCCAGTCCAAACATCTAGAACCACAAGTTCAGCTTTCAGCACCAAACCATAAAGATACATTTGGTCTTTTTGGCATCATGGAAAGTACAGTATATATTCACCAGAATTAGACCAGAGCTCAAACAGATTGTATAAGAGTTTATATTGATGGGATTTGGCAGTTTGTTTTTAAAAAAAGAATTCGATAGAATAGATAGAGAAACTACTTCCTCTTTTGCAGAATGCAGGAGATGGACAGAACCTTGTTTAAAAAAGTTATACGTTCAGGAATGAAATCTGGAAGCACTGTTTGGACAAGGAGGGAGTGAAGACCTGGAACTGCATCCCTATAGACTGTGGATACTGGGGCAATTGGATTTGAAAGAAAGAGAGGGGACATCTATCCATAGATGTGGAAAGGGCAGTTAAATGGTTTGAGGGACTTGTTCTATAGATGGCAACTCAGGCCAGAAGATGCACAGGATGATTCTCCTCCTATTCCCAATCTCCTACCAGGGTGCAGTATTGTGGCACTGGTCTAGCACTAACCTTTACAGGGTGGACATTACTTCTGAGAGCTTTCATCAGGTCAGGCTATTTAACTGCAGGAGGCACTACAATGGTTTCCAATAATTGCTCGTGCATCTGCATCTTGGATCAATGAGTTAGGGAAGAGGCAACGGTCAATGTCCAAATGTCACCACAGCAAAGATACAGAGAGGTGCACTGATGCTGTACAGATCCACAAGATGATCCTGTTCACATTCAGTGACTGACACAGGAAACTCTCACTTAAGAGTCTTCCTTCAAACCACACTGATTAATTTATTCAACAAAACCAAGAGGTTGAGGAGCAAAGGCAAAACCTCAATGTGGCCAGGAGCAGCCTCAAAGGGACAGATTCAACCCAAAGTGCTAAAGGTGCTCACTGTACAAGTTAGCTGCCATTGGCTAATTGGGTCAAAAGTGGCTCAGGGATGGGAGGAACATGGCTGCTTATTGAAGATTACCTTACAGGGAGTCACACACTTTGAAAGGCAACCCTGTAGAACTATAGCTCAGTGAACTCTTGCAATAGATTCTGAAATGATCTTAGTTCGAATCAAAACAGACTTCTCACGTATTTATGCGCCTACTGAAAAAGGGTGTTGCTGAACTGGAATTCAAGTCCACCACAGAGTTAATGAATATGCAATCCCTTCAATCCTCTGCTCTCTCAGGGAGGTCGGTGGGTCAGACTGGTTTAAAAAAAAAATTACACAAAGTTACTTTGCCTTAAAAATAAAATGGACAGCAACTACGTAAACCAACTGGAGACTGCAGCACACATTAACCTGAAGGTCCACAGCACTGTACAACCAGCCAGAGGTGTTCACTCAATGCTACCCAATATTGATTGGGGTGGGGGATAAAAAAGTGTACATGCACAATGTTAATGAGAAATGTTATACCATTAAATCAATGGTCAAAGTTCAACTCCATCACATTTCCAGTTTCAAAACTAATGCAAAAAAAATTGGACCATCCACCTGCCACACCCACTGGGGGAGGGGGAGTTAATACATCTGGTGAACCTTCAGCAATTTCTATTTTTTGCTTTTTCAGATCTCCAGCATCCAGAGTTCTTCATTTTCTCCTAATAGAAGTGGTTTGTTTTGTTACATGCTGCTAAACAGTTACCACTTCCTTTGCTTTTCTCAAGGCCACTCACAACCTCTTCATTGTTGACGATTCCTTCAGAAGGCAGTAATTAAGCTCATCTCCCGTCGAGGCTCCTCAGTTGGGCACACAAGGTTTGACACACTGTTTTTCACCTACTTTGCCCCAGCACCCAGCTCATTCTCTCCCACCACCCACTTAACTCCAGTCAGATACTTTCAACCACAGCCCTAAGCAGATCAGGGCCCAGTCACCACACTGACTGCAATCATAGTAAATCTGTTCAGAATCAGAGATGATTAATCACTCCATTGTCTATTATCAGCCTTGCTTTATTCATCTCATCAGTCCAACTTGGATTCTTCCTCACCTGCCTCCACCCACTGCCGAGTCTACCTCAGATGTCACCTATAACACCTTGAAGAAATGAGGAAATATTGTTGCTCTTTCCATACTGCCCTTTGGCAATATCTTCAGGCAAAGACCTGGTTCTTCAACTTCTGTGCTGACGCCACTCTGCTCTGCCAATCCTCAATCCTACAAAGCATTAAATCCATATCTGCCACTGATCAGTTAGACTGCTAGTCCATCAAGTCCTCCAAGAGATCACATCAAGACAAAAATCGCTCTTTTAATGCCCAAAAACCCCCTAATCTATCGACTCAGGTTGAATAAGTAGGGCAGCCTGTGTCCTATGAGTAAACCTTCACATCTGACAGAACAACTTGCACTTCTACATTACCTTTTTTTTGGGGTTGTGCACCTCTAGGTCCATCTCTGGGCTTCTCTTTTCATCCTTCTCAATGGCTCAGAGCTTTACTGAGCCCAGTTAGTTTACAGAGACACATCCTTGGGCCTTGCACTAGCTACCAGGCTGCCTTTAATGGAACAACCCCATCTGGAGAACTCTATCAACCCAACTGGTAACTTTCTGGAAAAAAACCTCAAAAAGCAGCATGTTAAAACCAATCTCTTAACACTGGCATGGTTATCAGATTCCCAGTTACGGGACAGATATTTGAACCAAAATGAAAACCAAAACAAACATTGCACACTTGAGGCAAACAGATTTTAGCACGGATAGTTTCACAAATTAAAGAGGTTCTTCAGCAAGCCTCTGGGAATAACTGAAGCTCATTTCAGACAAATTCATGTACCTCTGATTCACTGGGACACAGCTTTGCATTCTGGGGCCCTATGTGAAAGGAACTTTCAACAGCAAGTGATTCAACAGCACTGGGTAGTTTAAAAGGATGTTATAAATCATTTAAAATATTCAGTCATCTTCCATAAAAAGTGTGTTAGACTTACTTTAAGAGAAAGAGGGGGAAAATATATTGTAAAACATTGTGTACATTAAAAGCTACAAAGTATTTCAATAAGTTAGAGAATTCCCATTAAGTATTTCTCATAAAATGAGCCGAGTGCCCAATCCCATTTGGAATTGAAGTTGAGCAAAGGGAGAATTGGAGAGAAAGGGCAGGAGACAGGGTTAAGATTTAGCACCAAACGTATCCCTCACCTAGTTCCTACATTCGGGATAGTTTAGAGACATTCAGCCAGGTTCTACCAACACTTATCACTAGAATCACAAGTCCGCGCACTTGGAGTCAAAGATGACCCTCTAACTGGGGTGATTGCCCATGGAGACAGCGGGGTGCAGAGCTTGAGGGAAGGGAGACATGTACATGGGAGGTGGCACCATAGGTGCACTGTATCCTTGGGTTACTGTGGGCTCAGGTAACATCAGAGCACCAGGAGACATATGGAGTGGACTCCCCTCAGGAATCTGTACATCGTTTTCTTCCATACACGGCAGAGTCATCCTCTTCCCTTTCTGTCGCCTATTGCAGAACCAAACTCTGATCACCTACAGAATAGAAAAACAAAAGATCAGTCTTAAAAAGGATTAGTGAGCCAAATGCATTTTATTTTAATATAGTCACCATTGCTGAGACTTGCTTTAGATTCTAGCTTGGTTAACTGAACTTAAACAACAGCTGTGGTCAGATTTGCACACTTGGTCTCAAAGCATTCGCCTGGCCTCTGGACTCCCAGTCCGTTGACGTTACCACTTCACCACCATCTCCAGGAGCACAAGTGTAAGCCATTCAGCACCTTGAACTTGCTCCACCATTTGTGAGGCAATGATTAACCGTGGCCAAATCTCATTCCCGTCTGCTCCTCTCAAGTCCCTGGTTTATCAAAACTGTCTGGTCTGACATTGACTTTATTCAAACACCCAGCCTACCTTGCTTTCTGGGGAAGAGAGATCACGCATGAACAACCCTTAGAACAAAAAATGTCATATTAGATCAGTCTTAAATGGGAGATGCCCAATTCAAGTGTATTAAAATAAAATGCATTTGGCTCACTAATCCTAGTTCCAGATGTTTCCCCACAACAGCAACTATCCTCTCCACATCCACCCAGTCATCATGACACCCCATTCCGCTTCTTGTACACCATTCCCCTTGCAATGAACACCAACATCCTATTTGCCATCATAGATCACTTGCTGCACCAAAAACTAATGGCATTATGCATGCACCACAGCACACAGATCTCTTATACCTCTAGTCTTTACTCTCTTCAACACAAATAACAGTGCTTTTCTATTCTTCCTACCAAACTGAACAAGCTCACAATTTCACACATCACATATCATCTACCAAATTCTTGTCCACCTCACAACCCAGCCCTGTCTGTTAACAGACAGAAGTCCTCTCCAGGATTGGGAAGAAGATAAATTGTAAAGCCAATCAATTTAGCAAACATACACAGCCTCCTTCATCCAAGCCATTGACAGTGATTGTAAGTAGTGGAGCCCCCAGCATTGATCCTTGTGGTACTCCACCAGTAATATCTTGCCAACCTGAAAATGACCCATTTATCCTTACTAAATAAAAACCAAAAGAACTGCAAATGCTGTAAATCAAACAAAAACACAGATTGCTGGAAAATCTCAGCAGGTTTGGCAGCATCTGGGAAGAGAAATCAGAATTAATATTTCAGGTCCAGTGATTGTTCTGAGGAAGGGTCACCAGACCCAAAACATTAACTCTGATTTCTCTCCATTTATCCTGACTCTTGCTTTGTTAACCAGCCAAACCTCTATCCGGGCTACCACTTGTGCACATTGCATAGAAACCTTTAATATGGTCCTTATCAAGTACACGTAGTTCTCCTATAACGTGATAGTTGTGTCCTTGGTGACTTTCTATAGTGCAAGGCCACACATATTGCTGTGGAGAAGTCACTATAGCAGAAAGTCTGCGTTATCCAAACAGCATCCACTATTCAATTGCATTACAGCCAATTCGCATTAACAAAACACATAGTAGAGCTACCTGTGCTTTTTGGAAATTTAAGTACACCACATCGTACCTTCTTGTTACTTCCTCAAAGGGAGGCCTATTATATTGAACACTTTCCCTTTTAGTCAATGTTGACGCTATCTGATTGCTTCAACATATTTTAAGTGTTCTACTATGGCCTCCTGAATGCGGATTGCCAGCACTTTCCTCCATGTCTGGTGTTAAGCTAACGGATCGGTCTTTTCTAGTTTTTTTTTGTCTGCCCATTTTCTTGACTTAAGGAATTACACTTGTCCATTTCTAATCTGCTGAGAACTTTTGGTTAGCCAAGTATTCAGGAACTTCATCTTTGTACTTCTGATTCCAGGCACCTGCAGTAGTTGGCTTTTATACAAGTTAAAATTTGATTGAATTAAACCAATCAAGAAAGTTCGCTTAGATTTAGGAAGTGGCTGTAGAAGCATAATACTGAAGGGCAAAACATAGAAAGAGTGCATCTGTCAAAGAGTACAGGCACAAGGAGCTAAAGACAGACTCTGCTTATACTCAAAGCTTCTTGCTTTCTTAAAGCAAGTCCACCTGAACCTAACCTGCCTACATTTCCTACTTTCAGATTGATTATATACAAAGACAATACAACGACAGTCACTTTGTGTTCAGACACTCCAAAGGGGACAAGGACACATGACTATCTCTACCTCCCAGAATGAGTTGTCACTACCCAAATCCATTCTCCTCATTGCCACAGCTCCACTTTCAAAAAGCATTCAAATCTAGTTTCTGCCCCTTCCGTAACACAAACAGCTATAGAACTTTCCTCAAGTGGATAAGATAGCACTTGCCTGGTTCCATTTGCATTGATCAAGTCACAACTAAAGAATTACTATATCGGTTCCTCTGCCCACTTCTACGCCATTTTCTCTATTTCTCCCATGAATCTATAACCAAGTGCTGACCCTCAATGACATCTAAAAACCCAGAGTGATGCAATAACAAAGGTGTTATATAGCACCTTTCACAACCATGGGATACCCCAAGACGTTTTACAGCCAATAAAGTACTTCTGAAGTAATGTGACCTGGGCAGCGCCGCGATTTTAGCATTTGCATCTTTTTCAAATTCACTTCACATTGCTAAAACTTCTCCCAACCCTGCAACACTCTGATCAAGGCTGCTTCAGTTGTGGCCTCTGGCATACAAGATTCCCATAAACTCAGCATCTCAGCAGAGTTGACAGAGGCAAAGGTCTGGAATTTCCTACCGAAACCAATACAGTTGTTGTCAAGACAACCTAACAAGTTGCTGCATTTTGCCAGAGCTGGTCAGCTCCTCCAATATCTGTTGTCCATAGTTTGACAATGTCCCTGAAAGTGTGTACGCACATAATGCAATAAGGCTGATCGTGAAATAGGCAGAGTCACTCATTCACCTCTTTGTCTAAGCAGAGATCTTCAGCAATCTGGGAGATCTCCTCACTTGTGGGCTTAGGACACTTCATGAAGTAGGTCTCCAAGTTCCTCTTCACGCCGTTCTCAATGCTGGTTCTCCTCTTCCGTTTCCTGGACTGATCCAGAACCTGCTCTACGTTACAGATCTGGGGAGAAGGAGCATGAAAGAACAATCATTACATTTGGGACTTTTGAATGCAAAGAACAAACAGCATGGACAGACACAATCGCTGGCTGGGCCAGCATTTATTGTCCATCATGAGTTGCCCTGGAGGAGGTGGCAGTGAACTGTCTTCAACAGCTGCAGCCCACATGCTGTAGGTTGACCCACAGTGCCCTTACTGAGGCATATTGACCCACTGACACTGAAGGAACAGCGATATATTTCCAAAGTCAGGGTGGAGAGGGGCTTGGAGGGGAATTTGCAGATAGTGGGTGTTCCTAGGTATATGCTGCCATGTCCTTCAGATGGAAGTGGTCATGGGTTTGGAATTTTTGCAGTGCATCTTATAGCTAGTACACACCGATATCCGAGTGGATGTAGTATAAAAATCAAGTGGGCTACTCTGTCCCGGATGCTATCGAGCTTGAGTGTTGTTGGAACTGCACCCATCCATTCACATGGGGGATATTCTATCGCACTCCTGGCTTGTGCCTTGTAGATGGTGGACAAGCTTTGGAGAATCAGGTGGGGAATTACTCACCGCAGTGTTCCCAGCCTCTGACCTGCTCTTGTAGCACATCTTTATGTGGTACATCCAGTTGCGTTTCTGGTCAATGGTAATCCACAGGACGTCGTTAGTGGGGATTCAGTGATGGTAACACCATTGATTTGGGGTGGTGGTTAGATTGTCTCTTATTGGTGATGGTCATAGCCTGGCATTTATATGGCACAAATGTCACTTGCCACTTGTCAGCCCAAGCCTGGATATTGTCCAGATCTTGTTGCATGTGAAGATGGACTGCTTCATTATGGGAAGTTGCAAATGGTACTGAACATCCCCACTTCTGGAGGAAAGGTCATTGATGAAGCAGCTGGAGATGATTGGGCTTAGGACACTACCCTGAGGAACTCCTGCAGAGATGTCCTGGAGCTGAGATGATTGACCTCCAACAACCACGACCATCTTCCTATGTGTCAGGTGTGACTCCAACCACCAGAGCGTTTGCCCCCTGATACCCATCGATTCCAGTTTTGGCTAGGGCTCCTTGATGCCACACTCGATCGAATGCAGCCTTGATATCAGGGGTTGTCACTTTCACTTCACCTCTGGAATTCAGCTCTTTGGTCTGGTGTTTGAATTAAAGCTCTATTGAGGTCAGGAGCTGAGCAGCCCTGGCAGAATCCAAACTGGGCATCACTGAGCAGGTCCTGCTTGATAGCACTGTTGATGACACCTTCCATCACTTTACTGATGGGACAGTAATTGGCTAGGTTGGATTTGTTCTGCTTTTTCTGTACATTACATACATGGGCAATTTTCCACACTGTCAGGTAGATACCGGTGTTGTAACTGTACTGGAACATCTTGGCTAGGGGAGTGGTAAGTTCTGGAGCACAAGTCTTCAGTACTATTGCCAGGATGTTGTCAGGGCCTGTAGCCTTTGCAGTATCCAGTGTCCCCAACCATTTCTTGATATCACGTGGAGTGAATCGAATTGGCTGAAGGCTGGCACTTGTAACGGTGGGGAGCAGTGGAGGAGGCCGAGATGGATCTTCCACTCAGCACTTCTGGCTGAAGATTGCTGCGAATATTTCAGCCTTATCTTTTGCACTGATGTGCTGGGCTCTTCCATCATTGAGGATGGGGATATTTGTGGAGCCTCCTCCTCCAGTGAATTGTTTAATTGTCCACCACTATTCACAACTGCAGAGTTTAGATCTGATCCATTGGTTGCGGAATCAGTTAGCTCTGACTATCACTTACTGCTTATGCTGTTTGGTGTGCAAGAAGTTCTGTTTGGTGGCTTCACCAGGTTGACACATCATCAGCTATGCCTAGTGTTGCTCCTGGCATGCCCTCCTGCACTCTCTATTGAGCCAGGGTTGATCCCCTGGCTTGATGGTAATGGTTGAGTGGGGGATTTGCTGGGCCATGAGGTTACAGATTGTGCTGGAGTACAATCCTGCTGCCGATGGCCACAGCGCCTCATGGATGCTCAGTCGAGTTGCTAGATCCATTCAAAACCTATCCCATTTAGCAGTGATAGCATATGATAAATCTGTTGCCATTTTTAAAATTTAAAAACCTGCAAGATTGAGTCCAACATTTTGCCAAATACATCAGCTGAGAATGTCAAACCATTGCTTCATGGGAGGGAGGATTAGATACAGACGAAGCTTAATGAACCACACAGGCCAGGGAGAACCAGAGTTTAAACACTGGTTATGAGTGTGTTTGCTGATTTTTACTGTACACGTACACGTACACGTACACTTCAATCACAGATGGAAGACTTTATTAAACAGGAATACACACTATCCCTGTGCCCAACTAGCTCTTCAGGAAAATAAAATCAAAATGCGTGTTTCTTTAGCAGTCTGTAAAGAGTCTGATGGGTCTTCAAAAGTTTCTGGGAAAACTATTTGTAAAGACTCAGTGCTCCACCCAGTCTGGAAGGTACATTAGCTATGAAAGTGTGTATTAAACTCCGAGTGTACACCCACCTCGTGCAGGCTGCCATTATTCTCCGCGTCATTCAGCCACCGCTGAAGAATTGGCTTCAATTTGCACATGTTTTTGAAACTCAATTGGAGAGCTTCAAACCTGCAGATAGTGGTCTGACTGAACATCTTCCCTAAAACAGAAAGGGAACAGTTATCACGAGGAGTATTGAGAAGGTAAGTGAGCAAATTTTTAATCAAAAGGAAAAAAACAAAAAGATGCAGAGACAGTCGCTCCTACACAATGATATCAGATGATCTGATTTAGGAGAGTAGCTGTTCTTCTGCTGGACGCTGCCTGAGCAACAAGAGTTAGCGGCCCTTTTATTCATAACTCAATCTAATTTTATTGTGAAGTACATGCTAACCTGTAGGTTTAAACAGAAATGATTCCTATTGGGCCATACCAGATCACATGCACACCTAATCAGGCACTTGACAATAAGTCCAATACAGCAATCTCAGCTCGCAACACAAGGCCTGAATGGGAGTTGAGCTGTTATAACTGGCCTCCATACACTCTGGTTCAGACCAACAAGGGACAGAAGGGAAAAAATAATGGTCTCCCTGCCAGCTGTTATCCCATCCATCATGAGAAGGGAGGTGGATAAACATAGAAGATAGGAGCATGAGGCGGCCATTCGGCCCTTCAAGCCTGCTCCACCATTTTTCATGATCATGGCTGATCGTCCAACTCAAATAGCCTAACCCTGCTTTCCTTCCATAACCTTTGATCCCATTCACTCCAAGTGCTATAACTAGTACCTTCTTGAATACATTCAATGTTTTGGCATCAACTACTTCCTGTGGTAATGAATTCCACAGGCTCACCACTCTTTGGGTGAAGAAAACATCTCATCTCCATCCTAAATTGTCCACCCCAAATCCTCATACTGTGACCCCTGGTTCTGGACACACCCACGATCGGGAACATCCTCCCTGCATCTACCTTGTCCAGTCCTGTTAGAATTTTATGAGATCCCCCCAAACTCATTCGTCTGAGCTCTAGCAAAAACAATCCCAACCTAATCAATCTCTCCTCGTACATCAGACCAACCAGCCCCAGAATCAGCCTGCACTCTCGAGAACAAAAGCATCCTTCTTCTGAAAAAGGAGACCAAAACTGCACACAATATTCCAGATGTGGTCTCACCAAGTCCCTGTATAACTGCAATAGCACATCCTTACTCCTGTACTCCAAACCTCTCGCAATGAAGGCCAACATACCATTTGCCTTCTTTACCACCTGCTGTACCTGCATGCTTACCTTCAGTGACTGGGGCACAAGGACACCCAGGTCCCACTGCACACTCCCCTCTCCCAATTTACAGCCATTCAGGTAGTAATCTGCCTTCTTGCTTTTGTTTCTGAAGTGAATAACCTTATTTATTTAAATTAAACTGCATCTGCCATTGATTTGCCCACTCACCCAACCTGTCAAGATCATGCTGAAGGATCTCTGCATCCTCGTCACGGTTCACCCTCCCACACAACTTGGTATCATCTGCAAACTTGGAGATGTTATGTTTTGTTCTTTCATCCAAATCATTAACATATATTGTAAATAACTGGGGTCCCAGCACTGCACCCTGTGGCACCCCACTAGTTACTGCCTGCCAATTTGAAAAGGACTCATTAATACCTACTCTTTGTTTGCTCTCTGCTAACTAGTTTCCTATCCATCTCAGTACACTTCCCCCAGTCCCATGCGCTTTAATCTTGTGCATTAATCTCTTATGTGGAACTTTGTCAAACACTTCCTGAAAGTCCAAATATACCACATTGACTGGCTCCCCCTTGTCAACTCTATTAGTTACTACAATGTCAAGTGAAGATCCACAAACCACCTTATCGCAGCTCCCGCCTGAAAACACAGAACAAGTGCAAGAATGGGGAGTAGGCCATATGGATGCAAGCCTGAACTGTCTTTCAGCAAGATTACAGTTAATTTTAAATCGCAGTCTGACCGTCCCACCCAATTTCCAAGATCGTTGAACTCTTTGCACAGAGTCCAAAAATCTAATCAATCTCAGGATAGTGAAACAAAAACAAATTGCTGGAAAAGCTCAGGACTGGCAGCATCTGTGGACAGAACTCAGAAGTGACCTAGCTGTGTGGAGTGGGGAGTTGGTGCAAGGAGAGATCACCAGATGACATGATGTTTGTGACTGTAGTGGACACAATGGCTTGAAGTTTTTTGGTGGGGTCATGGTCCAGGAGGAGGTATCCAAGATCTGACAGCATACTGAACACTTGCAACCACCTCTGGAGCGGAGTGGAGGAAGGTCTCATCTCAGTCCAAACGCTGGCCAATCCCTTATCCCCGAGTCCTTGCACACTAGTTTGTTATTTTCCAGTCAGTGAAACAGCCTCTCAGAATCTCCCTTGTCAAGCCCCCTCAATGCTCCAACAAGATCAACCATCTCTCTGAATTCTGGAGTGTACAAGGCCACTCAACTCCACCTCTCCTCCCAGGAGGACCTTACCCAATGAACCTTCGATAAGCTCCCTCCAAGGAGATACATCAGAACAGGTGTACAGTACTGCAGATGTGGTCTCACCGAAACCCTGCACACGAACAGCAAGGCTTCCTTACTACTGTACTCCTGCCAATGCCTAAAGACAACATGCATATTGGCCTCATATACAAGGGCATCCAAACAGGCAACTAAATTTTATATAGTCAGGTACTTACAGCATGGAAACTGACCCTTCAGTCCAACTAGTCTGTGCTGATCAGATATCCTAAATTAATCTAGTTCCATTTGCCAGCATTTGGCCCATATCCCTCTAAATTCTTTCCATTTATTTACCCATTCAATACCCTTTAAATGTTATTGTATGAGCCTCCACCACTTCCGCTGGCAGCTCATTCCATACAAGTACTACCTTCTGTGAGGAAAGGTTGCTCCTTAAGTCCCTCTTAAGTCTTTCCCTCTCACCTTAAACCTATGCCCTCTAGTTTTGGACTCCCCTACGCTGGGGAGAGAAAAAGAGACCTTGGCTATTCATCCTATCCATGCCCCTCATGATTTTATAAACCTCTACAAAGGTCACTTTCAACCTCCAGCACTAGAGGGAAAATAATTCCAGCCTATTCAGCCTCTCCCTACAGCTGAAACCCTCCAACCCTGGCAACATCCTTGTACATCTTTTCCAAACTCTTTCAAGTAGAGTTTTCACTTCTTCCAACTAAAAAGGAATAATTTCCCCACATTATCCTTCCCCTGCCCAATTTTAACCTATCAATTTCCAGCCAACATTCCCACTTGGCTTTCTGTCTACAAAGTGTGGATATGTTACTGGCCCATCTGAAGTTACAAATATAGGTTGTAACCAAAACTCTTAACATTGTATACTGCAAGGATGGAACTACTGACTCTTGTCTTATGGGTGACAGACAAGTTTTGGGGATTGCTGTAGGATTCCTCCGATGTATTCTTGTAGCTACACAGTCCACACAAAGACTAAAAGAATTCACTAGTTATGGCACTGCCAGTCAGGAGCTCATTTATTTCTTGCCTGTCCAAGAAGACAGTTCCCATCAGGATGTCTATAAACACTGCTTTCCATTCTTATTTATTTCCAAATTCCAATACTCCTGTTCTTGCATCATCTTTCATCAGGGCTACACAACCAGATCCTGCCTTTCATTTTGTACATAATTTGAGACATTTAAGTACCCCCAAATATTCAGTTCTAACCTCGGCTGTCACATGATCATGTACATTGAAATTTCAAATCTTTGTCCATATATCCATTTTCATGTTAGTCAATTATCAATCCAGAGAATGCTGTCTTTGGGGTTGCTTAATAATTTAGAGCCTAGCTCTCAAACTCGCTCAGTGGAACATCATTCCTATGACCAATATGATTGATTCCCGTGCATGATAATCCTCCCCTGTCACATTCAAAATCTTCTACCAGTTTGAGAAATCAAAGACAGGAACCTATATTGGGAAGATGGTGTACTATCAGGTTGTAGAAATAGCCTCCTCCAAGCAGTGGGGCTGCTGTGGATGTAATTATGGTGTGAAATGTTTACTTAGTGTTTCATTATAAAAGCGATCAGAACAAGCGACTTTAAATTAGCAACTGAATTGTCTGCATCTCTGGTCTAATCATCTGTGTCCTGTTTCACTCAAGGACTATAGTTGGCCTTTACTTCAATAAATTACAACATTTTCCAGAACTGCCAATTTAAAAAAAAAAGGACGCAATTCACTTAAAATATTCCCATAACAGCTGGCAAGGGGTGGTTCTAGCAACCATAAGGCAAAGGGGCAGAAATATACCTTTCAGCCCATCTAGTCTGATCTATCATTCAATGAGATAATGTCTGATCTGATAATCCTCAACTCCACTTTTCTGCCTTTACTGTATAACCCTCTAATCCCTTCCTGATTATCAACCAGCCTTGAATACATGTATCTGTAAATGCCATGCACAGTAAGAGGATGGACAATGTTTGCCAAGGTGCATCAAGGATTTACAGAAAGCCTTTGACAAGCTTCCAGACTCGTGACCAACAGCAGAGATAAAGATTCACAGAAGGAAAAAGAATGACAATAACTGGATAGAAAATTAGTTCTTAAATGCAGGCAATTACAGGAACACTATGCAGTTTTCTGAAAGGATTTCCAAGCAGAGTAATTAGGCTGGGAAGTACAGCAAGTAAAATGATTTGCTGAGAGCCTTAAATCAGAAAAGGGCTGTCTACAGAATGGAGAAAAACCAAAAGAACTGCGGATACTGTAAGTCAGGAACAAAAACAGAAATTGCTGGAAAAGCTCAGCAGGTCTGGCAGCGCCAACCGAGTTCTGAGGAAGGGTCACCGCACCTGAAGCGTTAACTGATTTTTTTCTTCAGATTCTGCCAGACCAGCTGAGCTTTTCCAGCAACTTCTGGTTTTGTACAAAAGGGACAACGCGGTCAGCTTCAGATCTACCCGGTAACTAGACCAATAGGGGGCAATGTAACCTTCTTGGTGAATTTGGTGAAAACAAGACTTTAGATGCTCCTGGGGAAGATGTAGAACGCTGGTGTCCAACTGCAGGAAAGGGTAGATAGATTGGAATCACAACCAGACACACCACAACTTTTGATGGAATCCACAAACTAACTTTAGCAAAAACAAACCCCTTTGCTAGATGGGTTAGAAATGACTCATTTCTCCTTCACTTTTACACATCACTCTCCCCATAAGTTACAATCTCAGCAGGTCTCAATAGGTTCTTACAGCCAGGAAAGGAGTTTGGAACCCACATGGATCAGCAGGTAGGGAGCTGACAGTAGGACAGCACTTGCTGCAAGTCAGGATTCAAGGGACAGCATTTTGAACAAACAGTGTTAAGAGGGCAGAAGGCGATAGGTCAGCCTAAAAGTTAAATAGATGGGTGTTAACAGAAACACAAATGGAAAGTTCTGGAAACACTCAGCATCTGTGGGGAAAGAAAGAAAGAAAAGTCAACATCGAGTCAAATGGGACTTCTGAAAAATGTCAGTTTTAAACATTAACACACTATCCACAGATGCTACTTGACCTGCTCAGTGTCTCCTTTGTTTTTGGTTCAAGTTTCCAGCATCTGTAGTATTTTGCTCGTACAACACGATAACAGCATAGTCACACATTCACTATATTCCAGATTGTATTTCAAGTCAAGGAATGAAATGGTTGCATAGAAATTAAATATTTCCCAATTAGTATCATTATATACTTCAGACAGTGATCTGGGTGCTGCAGTATCAGGCAATCTAACCCTGATTTGCAGTAGGAATGCCATCGATCTCAAACAAATGGTATCACTTCAAATCGAAGACTGCATCCATATAAACTGCAATTTGACTCAGTTAATCATGAAGAATTGTACATGCAAGCTCCACTCAAGCATACTGCCTACGCTTACATTAACACAGAAAAATGGTCAACTGGGTCAGTAAGCTAAGGCCTCACTGGGCCAAGGTTCCAGTAAAGACTCCATGGGACTGCATGTTCAAAAGAGAAATTGGCCAGCTCCCTGGTGTCAAGAACCACTACCAAAAACATCTCATTGCTAGGAAGGCAAGCTGCAGGAATAGAACTGCAATCACAGCAGAGACTAAAACATATTTAACAGTCATATACTGATACAGGGAGCCATTTGGTCCATTGTGTCTGTGCTAGCTCTTGAGAGCTAGTCAATTGGTGTTTCCACTGCCTTTTCTCTACACCCTCACACATTGCTCTCCATCCTGCACAGCTGTTAACCTGCTCAATGCCTTCAAGTGTTTCTCAAATTCCTACAAGTTATCCAAGTTGTTTTTCATCTGCTCCTCAGGCAGTGTATTCCAGAGCACAAACTCCCCACGCAAACAAGTTATCATCTCAACTTGGAAATATCACCGTTCCTTCACTGTCGCCGGGTCAAAATCCTGGAATTACATCCCTAACAGCATTGTGGGTCAACCTGCAGCAGTTTGGAGATGGCAGCTCAATACCACCTTCTCAAGGGGCAACTAGGGACAGGCAATAAATGCTGGCCTAGCCAGTGACATCCATGCCCCACGAGTGAGTAATGGATAATCTCCTGATGCTCTTGTTAATTACATTGACTCCATGCCCTTCAGTAAAAAACTTATTTATGCTCAAGCCCTTCGTGATTTGGAAAGCCTTTATTAAATCTCAAATATTCCTGCTGCAAGAATAACCCTAGTTTCCAGTCTTTGAATGAAGTGTGAGGAATGTAATAACAGGCTCCACCAACAGCTAAATCTTGAGCCATGAAATGGCAGGTCGTGGGTTCAGTTCCAATTGGAACAGAGGAGGGAAAATCATTTGTACAAATTAGAGGTGAAAACAGAAATTACTGGTCTAGTAGCATCTGTGGAGTGAAAGCAGAATTAAGTTTTTAGGCTCTGAAGTTCTGAGGGGTCACTGAACCTGAAATGCTATCTCCATTGATGCTGCCTGACTTGCCTTTTCCCAGCAATTTTGGTTTTTGTGTCTGATTTCCAGCACCACAGTTCTTAGGTTTTTGGTTTGGTGTCCAGTGAGCCCTTCCTGATTTAGATGTCAGGCAAGGGAAGCTCAGCAGGTAGGCAGCTTCATTAGGTTACCTTGAGCACACAAAATCTAAAGTCACTCTCTCTCTGGGTTCCCAGTGATGGTCAAGTAAGGAAGCAACAACATGGACACCTGTGGAACTAGCTGTCCAAGTCAATGCCTTCAGGACTGTAAGGAAGATGGACAAGTGAAAGGAGAGAGAGATCGTGCAGAGCAGCACATTGGCACTACTACATTTGAAAGTACGCAGTTTGTACAATGTCCACATCACTATTACCTCTGAATTTCATGATCCATTGCTTTCCAAATGTACAGTATCTGCAATGATATCAGACCATCACTGATGGATCATTTCATCAAGCAAATTCCACTGGGAATGCTAAAGGTTCCATCAACAAAAATGTTTCAAAAACTCCAGGCTCTAGATAATTCAAGCTTTTCTGTCTGGCACCTCACATCACTGTGGAAGCTGGTAAGACGGTATTACCACAGAGCTGTTAACAAAGATTGTTTCATTCGGCTTCCGACTAGTGCAATGGAATTCAGCTTTTCACACGTTACCCTGACAATTGTAATTCTGCACAACATGAGTGTTCAAATTTCAACATTTTGAGTTCACATGTTTCTTTCTGGCCTCCACACCTCTTCCCCCATGACTTTCGCCAACTGCAACCTCGTTGATGCATCAATATTTGACCTCAATTCAAAAGAATTGTCAGACTGCACAATCCCACTCCTGAAAACCGCTGGCCCTGACCAGTCACCACCCCAAGGTAAAACTGGCAGGTTAGAAAGAATTCCCTCAGTGTGGAAACAGGCCATTTAGCCAAACAAGCCCACACCACCCCTCCGAGGAGCATCCCACCTAGATCCATTCCCCTACCCTATCTCAGTAACCACACATTTCCCAATGGCTAATGCACCAAACTTGCACATCCCTGAATACCATGTGCAATTTGGCATGGTCAATCCACCTAGCCTGCACATCTTTGGTCCGTGGGAGGAAACCGGAGCAAATCCACACAGACAGTCGCCTGAGGCTGGAATCAAACCCAGGTCCCTAGCACTGTGAGGCAGCAGTGCTAACCACTGAGCCACCGTGCTGCCTTTTTTTTTAAGAAAAGAAAAAGATACTCCATTGAATTCTGCTGTATTACATGACCCACATCTCATTTTTTATATCACAAGCTCTCATCCAAATATTATACCTTACTATTATAGATAGAATCCCCACATGTTTATAGAGATGTGACATTTTAACACACCAGATCTGGTGCCAAGTCAGAGTACTCATCCCGGAAAACTGTGGCAATGCACTGTTTATTCTTTATGAAGTTAATGTATTAGTGGCTTTTAAAGCCAACTATCCCAATGAACATACACCACTCCTTCAAAACACAAAGGGACACTCACCATAGAGATTCCCCAAAGCTAATCCAACATCAGCTTGTGTGAAGCCAAGCGTAATTCTCTTGTGCTTTAGTTCTTTAGCAAACTGTTCCATTTTCTCCTTGGTGGGGTACTCCTTTAAGACACAAGAAGGGGATAAAATTGGAGGTCTGCTCACACAGCAAGAATTTAGATTATTGAAATAACATATCTCACAGTGAATATAGTTAACAGCTTATATACCCCACTGTGATCTTGGAGTTACTGACCAACACAATTCTCTAGTCAGACTCTTCAAAAATATCCCGATATTCCTCAGGGGTCAGAAAACCACATATGAAAAAGGATTAAAGACTTTAATAAGTTAGAAAGTTCAAAGAAACAGAGGAGGGAAGAATGCAAGTAGGGAGGTAAACCAGCTTATCACATGTAGCAAGCACAAGCCAGGAGAAGGCCTGGGGAGTTTAAGATACTACTTTTTAAAAGGAGGTACAGGGAGGGAAAAGGTGGAATATTCTGTTGTAACCTACGCAACAACAAAAACAAAAGTAAAGTAGAAACATCAATCCTCAGAACTGTAAACTAGGGGTGGTTTTGAACATAAGAGAGAGAGAGATTTACCTCCTCGCTGTCGCTGGATTGACCTTCCTCGCTGGCGGTGCCGGTGGAGCCAGTATTGGACTGGAGAGGTTGACTGCTGTCGCTGTGCTGGGAAGGGCTAGGATACAGCTGGGGGGGTGAAGGGAAGGGCCCATAGCTCTGACTGGGAAGCGGCCCTGAGGACGAAGAGGAGCCGGGGCTCGAATTGCTACTGGATGCGGCCAGGGCCGGCTGCCAAAACGGGCTGCTCCATCGGGGAGGGTAGGAAGGACCCGGGCCACTGGGCGAACTGTACCTCACCTCCTGGGGGTAACCTCTGCTCTCCTTCTCGGTTTTAATCTCCGGCCGGTTGATGTATCCTCCAGCTACTGCCACTTGGCTATTGTGACCAGCTCCATGGGTTGGTACTGGCTCAGCACCAGGGAAGGGATACCAGTAACCGGAGGGGGAGACCGCTGCACAGTCCCCTAGAGGAGACTCAGAATGGCCATATTCCCCTTTCAGAGGTGGGAAAGGAAAGAGATACTGGGCCGAGAGGCCATTGTAACCAGGTTTGTAAAACTGGGCACCCACATCCTGAACAACCCCATTCCCAAAAGGTACCAGAGCTGCTCTCTCTGGAGACTGGATTGATTTGGCCCCATTAGCACCTTGACCAGGGCTAATTGACATTCCGCAAGCAATCACTCTCTGAGAAGCACACACTACCTACCACCTAGCTACAAAGGCCCATCGTTGAAGAGGTCAAACCAACCTCAAACTTGCAACTCATTGAGCCAGAGGACGGGAAGGGTGGGTTCCACTTGACTGGGCAGTCTGATTGGATCAATATGTTAATTGTAACCCTTCTTATTGGCGCTGGGTTTGGAGTGGGGGAAGGTGTAAATGAACTTGATGCTTCTCCTAGTCTTGCCCATTGATTGACAGTTGCTGCAAGGGAGGTAGAAGGTAGCCTGGCTTTTATTTGAGCGGCTGTTAACTTCCAAAAGTGTAAACATAAGTGGGGAGGTTCAATGTACATGTGAAAGGTGAATGGATACTAACAGATTCCCGTTCCCCCATGAGCGTGAGAGACAGTCCATTAAGAGGAACATTAGAAACTTAATCTGAGGAATTTAACAAGGGCAGAAAAGGATCCTCATTGAAAATCTTGTAGGGAGGAGAGGAAATGGCCACATTCAATTTACTAATTTAGCTTAAATTTCTGTTTAAATTGTTTTCTCAATGTTAGCAAATCAGATAAGAATACATTTGGGGATGAAGCAATGCATTCTTTCCTGCACAGTACAGTATGATCCCACAAGTCACACATTTCTTAAAATCTCTCTCACTCTATGAGCCTTACGCAATGATCTGAACACGCACGGATACTCTCCCTCTTTTTGAAATCGTAAATAGATAATGGTATAATGGTGAGAGGGAAGCCGGGTTGATTTATTTATGGGCCGCCTGTCGGCAGGAACAGTGGGGGAGATGCCTATGAGAGGCTGAAGGACAATGAATGAAAGGAGCCGCCTGAGCATTGTGTGCGGTTGCAGTGCTCAGAGACGGCGCTAATCCTCTGCACTTGGGGACGCAGAGAGAATGGGGACTCCCGGGGCTTCACTTCCGACCAGAACTTCACCCCCATTTGCACAGTCCTCAGATCATGCCTCCAGTCAAACAACTTACAGAGTACCGGCTTCAAAACAAAAAAACCGGTTTGTAAATAGTGTGTGGAGCCAGCCAATCTGAAAATCTTTTGGATTTGTGTTCCTTAATTGTCATTTTTGTTTTTTTTCATTCTCTTATATTTGGAGAGAGATCTAATTAACACTTTTTTAAATTTAGCCTATTTTCCCCTAATCAATCTGTTAGTGCACACCTCTGGAGCAGGTGGGACTTGAACCTAGGTCTCCCTGATTAGGAGTAGGGGGCATTACCACTGTGCCACAACAGCCCCTAACAGCATCACCTATCGCAGCAGGTTGGCTGTGATCTGCCTTTTCTAAACTTTGCCCACTGGAAACTGCAGAGGTCTCTCATTTACCCCTCCCCCATCACTTGGTCAACAATCTTATCTCTTACTTACTGGCCTTCTGTTTCAAAACTGAGTTTCACTTTTCACCAACTTGACATGAGAGGGATTCTTTCTTTGACTGTTTTCATATAGAATTGGAAATCTGTACACTTGAAGGATATTGATCTGCATGTGAATTCTAAGGTGAGGTGGCACTGCCCCGTTGGGAGGATAAGAAATATCCCATGCATACTATTTTGAAGAGCAGCCTGTCTGTATCCTGATTAACGTTGATGCCCCAGTCAATATCGCCTCATTGACCTGCACAAATCAGCCAGCCTGATTGTCTGTTTGCAACACAGGCTCCTGTTCTAAACATGTTTCATTTTCCAGGACCATGGCCGTGGTCATTTGTGTTAATATTTCCACATGGACCTCAGTCTCATATTTTAGAGGGCAATCTTCCTCTGTAGCTTGATCACATTTTACTACATTCAATGTCAGGAGTTAAGAGCTTTGGCAGGAAGAATAAAACCATTTTTGCTGTTTTTTTAAGGATCGTGCTGGGTACAATTTAACTGCTCCATTCCCACTTTACAACAGTGACACCTCTTCAAATGTAGCTGGATAGAGAGATCACGGTGTACAACAGTTGTAAAAATCCATCTGGTCCCTTCCATGTCTTTTACCCAAGCCCTCGCCCCACGTCCTGTCATAACATGAGTTGCTTTCAATGCAGCTAACCCATTTACACCCACCTATCGACTCCATTATCACCTAGCTAGCTTTTCTTCTTCCCTGATTTACTATCTACAATCCCTTTGTCTGTCTAACTTTTCTGTCCTGTATCTCTCTGGGCTCCGTCTCCACGAATCTGCTCACTCCTTCCCTGCCCCCACCCCTGTCATCAAGATAATTCCCACGTTTGCCCAGATGCTATCAGTAATGAAGAATTGTCACTGGACTTCAAATGTTAACTGTATGCCTCTTCCCACAGATGCTGTGAGGCCTGTTGAGTTTCTCCAGCAATTTCTGTTTTTGTTTCAGATTTCCAGCACACATGGTTCTTTGATTTATTCTCATTCACTCATGTCCTTTAGGGAGGGAGACTGCCGTCCTTTAGGGAGGCAGACTGCCATCCTTACCTGGTCTGGCCTACATGTGACTCCAGACCAACAGCAAAGTGGTTAACTCTTAACTACCCTCTGGGATGGCCTGCTGAGCCACTCAGTTCAAGGGGAATTAGGGATGAACAAAGCAAAACAAAGCTGGCCACATTCACCACCCATGAAAGAAGAGAAACATCTACCTGCTTTGTTATGGCCTGGATTGTGCAATGTGTTATATAAATGCAAATCTGTTCGTTCTTTCAGCCTCCTAAAGGGGCTTTTATTGAACACTTTTTTAATTCGGGTCAGTGGAGAGTGGTGTTGGCAATGTTGTCCCCTGGCCTATGTTGGCAAAAGATACCCCATTTTTTCAGAAGCAGTATTGTCCCAGAATCCATTGAGGATATCATCGCTGTTCTCTCCCATCCCAAGCTAAGTTAGGAGGCAAGCAAAGCCATCTCTGCCAACTAATTTGCTTTTTTTAATGTAGCATTTTTTCTCAAATTATATCTTACGTAAGTACCAAAACCAGAAATTGCTGGAAAAGCTCAGCAGGTCTGGCAGCATCTGTGGAGAGAAATCAGAGGAACATGAGGTACATTCTGAAGAAGTGTCACTCGACACAAAACGTTAACTCTGATTTCTCTCCACAGATACTGTCAGACCTGCTGAGTTTTTCCAGCAATTTCTGGTTATATTTCTGATTTCCAGCATCAGCAGTTCTTTCAGTTTTTATTTCCTTACGTAAGTACATTGGGGTAATAGAGAAGAAGGCAGAATGTTCCGTTACAGAGAAGGTGCAGAGAAAGATCATCTAATGTACAATTTGATTTGATTTATAATTGTCACGTACCTAGGTCCAGTGAAAAGTTTTGTTTTGCATGCAGTACAGGCAGGTCATACCATATAGAGTGCGCTAGGGTAATAGAACAGAATGAGGAATACAATGTTATGGCTGCAGGAGAGGTCTGTTCTGATAACAGCAGGGCAGAAGCTGTTCTAAATGTGCTGCCTTTGTTAAGAAGGTCAGGAAAGAGGTGCTGTGGTTCATTCTAAGTGAATGTGTGATGTTGCACTCTGTGTTTTATGTCTGAGATGCATCTGGAAGACCATCACCCTAGTGAGAAAACCCTGTTTGGTCTAAGTGGAACATGTTGGTCTGCCTTTATATAGCATAGAATCATAAAATCCTTACAATGTGGAAACAGGCCCTTCGGCCCAACAAGACCACACTGACCCTTGGAGCATCCCACCCAGACCCATCCCCCTATAACGCACCTAATCCACACCTCCCTGAACACTATGGGCAATCCACCTAACCTGCACATCTTTGGACTGTGGGAGGAAACCGGGGCACCCGGAGGAAACCCATGCAAACACAGGGAGAATGTGCAAACTCCTCATAGGCAGTTGCCCAAGGCTGGAATTGAACCCGGGTCCCTGGCGCTGTGAGACAGCAGTGCTAACCAACCCGACACCCCCATCTTGTTCTGGCAAAATATCTTCAGAAGCTTGAATAGTCAGTGAAAAAGCAATAATGCAAATTAAAGCTAGTTCTTATTTCCAGACAGAAAATGTAACTGAAATGTTGACTGTCACTCTTTCTCCACAGACATGTTTTGAATGATTTTGGCTGTTTTCTGATTTCCAGCATCTGCAGTGTTTTCTCATTGTCTTGCTTTGTCTGTTTTCTGTAATAAACTCCCACCCTTTGCCTGATGATAAGATGGATCCGAATTCACTGATGTCCTTAGCAGCTAACGCATGAAAACCATTCCCCAGCTTTAGGAAAGGAAGAATTTGCAAATAAAGTACGTGCCTCTATAAGGCTGGTAGCTGCTGGATTTGACCCCGAGGGCTTTTTTATGCAAAATCTGCAACTCCAAGGGCAACAAAAGCTCCAGCGAAGATCTGGAATTCCAGGCTAATTGAAGCAGATTAAGAGACAATTTCACTTGCCTCTGGGTGCTTTATTGAGATGCATGATCTCAGGACAATGCACTCAAATGCAGAGCTACTGTCCCTGTATGAGGCTCTGTATCTATCAGGTAACACTGCTTGGGTCAGAGATCTATGGTCCTGTAATGTTATTGTGACCAGTGAAGGAATTCAGCTCCATGCTTTCACTCTTTTTGTAAAGAAAACTATCTCGCCCTGGTCAATCTTTCAGCACGAGGTGGACAAGGGAATGCAAGGCCTATTTGACAATGGGTGGCATCACAGACAGTCTGAACACCCCATGTGAATCTATCAATACAAGTCACAGGGATGGACAGGGTTCCCTTGTAGCTCAAGCCAAAGAATGATTGTAATCTTTATTTCCTCCTCTTGCTGATTCTTCTGAAGCTCTTGAGTCCCTTCTACAGACCCAAGGGCATTGGGCACCCTTTGTCTCCTTTGCCACAAGGGGCATTGTTCTGGTGTTAGCATTGGCTCTGGATGGGGAAACATTGGTTCACCATAAGGAGTACCATATATACAAATGGATACTCTCACACAGAGACAGAGACACACACACATGTACACACACAGACACAAACCCCCCCTCCTCCCTGGGCTGGCATTGTTGCATATTTGAGGTCCACAGACCCTTGGCCTGTATCAATTAGGGGTCAGAATCCAATTCTCAACCCATTACTCCACAGCCTCAATGAAACCATGCCTTCCATCTTTCTATTCATTCACAAGATGTGGGTGTCACTGGCTGGGTCAGCATTAATTCCCCTTCCCTAACTTCCCAGAGGGTTAACAGTTAACCACTT